CTAAATTTGCTTATATAACCCTACGTTAAGTGTTTTAATGAACCATGCTATAGGCTTACAGGAGTACTCTGCTAAAGTCTATCCGCCTGCAGACTGGCTAAAAGAATGTCACACATCTATAAATCCCTAAATCCACGATGAAGCAACCAACTGACATATCCAGAAACACACACTTAAAATCCATCACATTCTCAAGCTTCCCAGTGACTGTGAGGCAGAACAATGGAAGGAGCAATCATTGTAATAACCAGTAAATTTATCAAGAAGAATAGAATATGATGAGCCAATTGAGATCATCGAGACACCTGACACTATGCAAAGGGGTATGTTCACTGTAACTGCTGCATGCAGAGAACAGCAGGAGGTACTAGTAATAGTGAAGGTCTGGAAACTAACAAGGTCCAAGTATAAAAATTATTTCATACAGCAATCGCTCTAGTGCACACTGCTTAATCTCTTGCATCCTAAATCTGCAGGGAAAATAAAGTATCAGCTGAATAAGCATAAACAAGGACAGTTAGGGCTACTTTTTAAAATGCTGATTTCCCATTATATGTATCTATATGTGAAGTAGAAGAACCACGATACTCAGAAAATACTGTTTTCATCCACTATTAAGGAAAAGCTCAAAAGCTAACTTGTTCCTTGGTTAGCTGATCCAATGAGCTTCACTGAACATATCACGGGTATTTTTCAAGCTCTGGGTATGTACATTCGACACTGATAAACAGGCATGACACAGGCACAGGATCAAGCCTTACCTTCTCCCTTGGAATGTTCCATTTACTGTTGAACCTGTGGTGTTAACCCACAACCCTTTAAGCTTCTGCTTACTCATGCCTCTGAATTACTTTCATATATGTAAGTAATTTTGAGGTTTTTTTACAGAACATCTAAATACGGAAACACACCAAAACAAAACTGCACGCAGACACTCTGGTGTCTGGAATTATGTACTATGCTCACTAGGGTTTTACATTTTATTTACAGGATCTCAGTCTAAATGAAATGCCTTCTATAACTGCACTCTTTTTGGTTACTTACCAAAACCTGTAAAGAGAGTAAAACACAACTGCAGTGTGTATTAGGGTATATATGACAGAATAGACATTTTAAAAAACAGATTTTATTTTTGCAGAGTAGTAAAATCCACAATAGAATCTGGTAAACCCCAGAACTATCAAATATAGAATAATTTTTCACCACTACTACCAGAGATCCAGTTCCACTGGAAACACAATGACAGAAGTACTGGAACAGACCAAGCACTGGCAACCCCCAACCTCCTACCTAAAACAGTACCACTTGCTCCAAAAAAAGGTTAGGTGAGGAGGTTTTGTTGTGTGCTAAACACCCTAGTACCAACTACTATTGCTGTAGCTACTGCTAGTACTGGAGTACTGAAGTGGCTATGTTTGGTTGTTCAAGAGTTATCCCTGAAGGCTTTTTTGTCTATGTATTTACATTTCTCAAGTCAGTTCAAGTTCATCTGGAGCATCTTTGCTATTAATGTCACCTTGCCTGTGATTAGATTTCTTGCTGGATTTGCTCTCTTCCAAGTCCTTCAGGACTTGCAAAAAAAAAAAACCAACACCACCCCCCCCCCCCCAAAAAAAAAAACAAAACAAACCAACCCTAAAAAAAAACAAATAAGATAAAAGGATTGAGCTCTGGCACAATATTTTCTTACACTTGGAGTTTTACAAATTTTATGCCTATCTTAACTAAGAGGCTCAATTATAGTAGGAAACCAAGTAGAAGCCTGTCTTATCTACTTAATTCCCTCTCAGGTAACTTCCAGTTCTGCATTTCACAAATCACTCGTATTTCAGTTTTATAGAGTTTAAAAACAAGTATTTGCTGATAATTTGAGAAAGGTCACATATTGTTCAGCAGTGTCTGGCAAGAGCACATTGAAGTCTGAAATATGTTCGCTGAGCAAGAAGCAAGTTCAATCAACTCTCCTCCTTAGTAAGCATTTATCAAAGTAATTTAAAACATGACAATGCACAACATAAGCACAACTTAATTTAAATTTCCTCAAAGGTAAAGTAATAACATTACAGTGGCTGATTAATGAAATAGATGGTGTTTTAACCTAGGACATTCCTACCTGTCTTTAGTGCTAAAGTAGTTACATCCAACAGGAATCAAACAGGCAGTAGATGTCTTGAAATACAACTGCAATTCTGTAATATTGCTGCCATCATTAACTGAATGTATTTTAATAACCACATCAAAATAGATGATGACAAAAATCACAGTAGATCTGTATGGTGCACCTCACCTACCCCACTGCTCAGCAGGGCTCATCAGCCCAAGAAGCCTGTACTGCTGCATACTGTACTGCTTCCAGTAGCTCAAGACAGCTCATTCTCACCTAGTTTGTGTACTTCTGCACAGCATCGTAGTGTCACATAATCATATCCCGAGAAATAATGTCAACTTAGCAAAAAAAGATATCACAGACACAGACTCTACAGCATTTACCCCTATCAGTGTATGTCCCACGTGAATCATGTAACACTTCTATGACACGCCATTGTCCACACAATGGAATATTCAACAGTTTACAGTACACACACAAACACAAATCTATACTATAAATCCCCCAAATACACCACTGAATGAGATACCTGCATCCTTAGAGAACCTCACTTTGTGCTGGCTTCAGAAAAGAAGTCCTTCCTCTCATTTACTTCAAGGATAGAAGAGATCTGACCATGGCTACACAAAATTCATAGCTTCTTTATATATAATCCATCATTCTCCAGTAACCAGAAAGTTTAGGCTTCCTCCAACAACCAGGAAGTTTAGACTATGTAATGCTGCAGAGCCATAAAACATGGACCCATGCATACATACATGTACACATGCCAGCATCACATATATGTGCTTTACATGATTCCTACCTTTTTTAATCATACAGAAACATTTCCCCCACACCAAGAGTTAGACTATGCCTGGCTACAGCACAAGTACATCCTCTCTTTTATTTTTGGAAATGTAAATAAGTTATATAAGATCTGGTGACATATCACATACCTGGTCATAGTTTGTTATTAATCTTCTCCAAGTATTTTGGAGATAAAAACCAAAAATCCATCTTTAAGAAACGCTTTGCCCACTGGCAAAGATTTCTATGACATAGGAATGTCAGATTTCTACAACATATTGTATGCCCATTTAATTATTTCCAAGAACTCCTTCTAAAACCAGCATATAATGAAACTAAGCATATCTTTATAGCCCACCTATAACTTCCTTAAAAAGCAGATTCACAGCAGAACTTCAGCATTAAGTTCTAATGTCATAAATAGCAAGATATCACTGTTTCCAAAGCCTTTTAAAGGAATTTTGTCTTCAAGACATAGGAAAACAGATATGTTGCTGTTTCATAGAAACAGACCTAAAGCCACACAATGTTATAATGAGGGATATATTTAGTGCTTGCTGAAAGCATCATAGCTGCTATTTTCTTGTATAGCTGGCACTCAGTTCTCTACTGTTTTTCCAGAGTTTCAGAGTTTTCCCCCCTCAGCAAATCCTTTATACTACATAAACTAGAGCTATTTTTAGTGATTGTCAGATTTGAAGACTACAAATCTCTGTAATTATTGCACCTTCCTCTTCTTGCATATAATCTCTCAATTAAAACAAATGTGTCCCAGAAAAAACTTTGAAAAGGCTGAATCAATAAACTGCTTAAGTGAACGAGATGCAAGCCAATCCCTTACGAATACAAAGCATATAATTAGCCAAAATGCTGTTCACAGTGAGGTTGAGGCTCAATAAAAATTAAACACTGATGCAGGCAAGGCATTCCCATGGGGCTCACGTTTATTAATACATTACCACTCACCAGTTGCTTTATGTCAAAGTAACTGGGACACTGCTTGAAGTCGGCTGGCTATTTGATAAAATAGAAAGCTATTGGTGATATTTTCTCTTATTTTCATATCCCTACTGTCATAAACAGGCCTCTAACAATCACATGCTCACAATGGTGCCAAACAGGAATTACTCCAGTTCTGACTGATCAGAGAAAGACACTTCCTAGATTCTGCATGTGGACACAGTTATGCCTTTGAAATCAGTCCAAACCAATACAACCCAGCACCGGCTTTCCCAAAACCTCTAAGGATGAGGCAGGCCATCAGTTTCCTAAAACCACATCTGAATTTACTTCTTAGCTTGATTAGGATGCAGTCAGCAATCCACACTGCAGTGATGACCTTTTTAAGCAAAAATGCAAAACAGTTTAGGTGGCTTCATTACTACTCTTCATGTTTCTATAAATTGCCTTCTGCATATAGAGAATAAAATAGTTTGGAACTATGATTATTTCAACTTCAACAGGAGAGCGCCAGAACAATGAATGTTTACAGAAACCCTCTTTCAAGCTACAGATGAGTAACACATGAATGTATCAACCCTACAATTCATAAACTCCTTCAAATCCCTCAGAAACTGAGGCACTCCTGTGTCAAGTTAAAATAAATAGCATATCAACTTTTCTAGTAAGCCAATTAAAACCCTTAAACATTAAATATGTAGCTAATAAAATGCTTAGGCTATAAATAGTAAGCCATTGTTAAAAAAAATAAAAAAAATAAAAAATAAAAAAATAAAAAAATAAAAAAAATAAAAAATAAGGGTATTTCTGAAATCTGTACTACAACAGTATCAATCGATAAGGCTACAAAAGCACCTCAAGCTGCAACTGCAAAATGATTCACTGCCTTCAAAAAGCATGCTGCAAAATGAATGGGATGATGTCCTGAAGTTTCAGTTCTTATCCAGAAATCCCTTATTATGTTAACCTCATAATTTGTCTTACTCTGTTCTTACAAGGTCACCTTGATTCCCACTTCTGCAGCAGAATCCAGCCTTTCGTCAATGGAGCATGAGGATCATTCAAAGAGAAAATGAATACATGTTGCTACTGGATGGCTTTAATTCTTATAAACTTCACAAATCCTAGGCCAGTTTATACTCACCTTTCGCAGGAGGAAGCAAATACGCTCAATATTTCTCAGGCGCTCTCTCTGTCAAAAAAGTGCAAGAAAAGGAGGAGATTCTCTTGTGTTCTCAATTACAATGGGTCAAGATCATAATTAATGATTGCAGGGAAGCAATTACTCTGAAACATTAGCATTTGCTTCTCACCTACTGCTTCCAAGACAAATGATTTACCATTTCAAAGTCATTTTTAAATCTGTTACTGGGTGTAACAATATAAACTGGGGATTCAAGTCCATGTCAGCCTTGAGCCAGAGATTGTAAGTTCTTTTTAAGTCAATATTTTTGGCTCTATCCAATGGTGCCAATCTATACCACAGACACTTGCTCTTGCATTTTCACATACCCAACCTTTGGCTTCAAGATAATTCTGAACGGGAAAAACAAGTACCAAGGTAGCATGGCAGTCCTTCTTCTATCACTAAGGGGTGTCTGAATTTAACCCATTAGTGAAGAATACCTGAAAAGTCCTAGAAAGGCCACTTTAAATACAGATGCATTCATAAATCTTGTAAGTCACTGTAATAAAGCACTATGACTCGAAATGCTCTAAGCTTGATTCACAGAAAGAAGTCAAAGGCAGGTTTTCTTTTAAATGGCTCAAAATGAGGAATTCAATAGTAAAATCAGATTTCACTCTGCATAACCCATCACAGGAGTTACCATGAAAAATTCTACTGTTAGTTTTCTGAGGATAAAAACCCATTCTGCCTTCTGCAGTGTAACCATCTGGTAATATTTTCATTGAGACATGGAAAACGATATTCTGCACAATGACCTTTTTTAAGCAGGTAATGTAAAATACCAATGTGAGAAAGCCAAGTCTCCCTAAGCTTTTTGCTTTACAAATGTTTTAAATTTGCTCTAAGTTGGAGCTTCATTTCTATTTTCCAAAGAAATGTCTCTTTTCCTTTCTTATCCCCAAGTTTAAGCCATTAAAAAAAATAAAACCAGTATAATTTTGGAAGGACAATGAGACAGTGGCAGCTTGACAGACACCAGACAAATAGTGTGCCTCTCTCTGATGTCTGTGATCTAAAAGAGACTAAGAAATTTTAGACTTATGGTTACAAACATGTGAACAGACTTGCATGGACGTGCCTGTGAAGCTGCAGAAAACTTCTTGCATTAAGTAGGAAGTAAGTGGAGAAAGAAAGATAATTCTCTCACTTCCCTTTAGAAGATAGATGCCTAACTGCAGCTGGCCTTGGAGAAGTTGGAAGTCTATCTTTGAACTGTAGGTAAGAGAGTGTGAATTAGGAAATCTGAATTAAATTCTCAATACTGCCATTGTTTTTGGCTCTAATTTCTCCATAATCGAGTCTTCTCTTGTCTAAAAGTCTGTCATGAAAACATTGTGGAAGATAGATGAGTAAACAGCAGACATACTTACAGTGCACTGAAGAAAAACTACCCCACCAAATAAATGGAATATGGACATGAGCAACTATGCACAGGGAAAACAGAAAATACATCTTCGATCAAGTGTAAGGAACACCTGCAAAAAGTATTCCTTTCATGTCAGTATAAAAGTCATTAACATGTATACTGTGCAGAAGAAAGCAATCTGAGGTTATTGTTTGAGTTATCACAGCAAGTTTCATAGAAGATAGTGAAATACGTCAACTGATCACTGAACATTTTCCTGTGTTTCCTGGAATCTCTACGATAAACTTTTTGATCACATCACTAATATGACTGAAACAGATTTTTTTTTTTTCTTTATCCTGGAGACCCATTCTATTAATATTTTAAAATAAGAGAAAATTATCACCAGGAAACATCTTACAAATTTTAGGAAGAGAACAAATTACTGGAGTTTGGTACATATAAATACCTTTTTCTTGTGTGCAGTTCTCAAGATGGGAAATAAAAAAAACAGATAAAGTGAATTCAAAACCAGAAAACTTCCAATTAAGTCCTCTATACAATTTCTTCATATAATTTCTTTCTTCTGCTCTCATTCTTTGCTTGTTAGTGAACTGTAGACAAGTCTTTTAAATCGAAGATTTTGTAAATATCATGGTTAAAATCATCAGCTGTCTAAGGAATACCACAAATCCTCTGCTGAGTTATGAAACAAGGTTAAATGGCAAAGCAGTAGCTACTGAATTTGGCTATCATTTGCAGTAGATTAAATAACTTGGTGCTCTGTAGAGATCAAATTCAGCACCTGTCGTAATCACTGTAATTCCCACTGAGATGAGAGAGAGCCCAGTTCTGCTCTCAGTGCTGGTAGTACAGATTTTATGCACGTTTAACTGTAGTCAGCTAAAATCACTCTAGATTACAGCTTTAATTAACAGAGAAATTTTCATATGCGTAAATCTGAGTTGCATTTTGGTTCATTAGGTAAAACTGAGTTTATAGTCCCAGGGTGGTATTTCACCTTTTCCGTAGCAGATGCAGCAGAAAGTGTTATTTACTCCTAAAGCAGAGAATTTAGAACCTGCTACAGGACAGAGAGGTCTAGGATGTGCTTCTTATCAAATTCCCTTAAGCTTTTGACTCATTGATATAGGCAGTATGGGAAAAGGTGGTCATCCCATGCATGAACAGAGAAAGCAAATGATCTCAAAAAAGGAAAACTTGTACCACAGAATGAAAGATAAAAAGAAGGCATTAGCATCACATATATCCTTTAAATCTGAACTTCCAAATTATTTTCCTGCCTCTTTCAGCAAAAAGGAAAGCTACCAGCTATCGGCGTAGTGTCAACTACACTTGACTTCACAACAAACTGCATGCTCATTTCCACTCATACTTTCACTGACAGCTCAGTGCATCTCCCTTTCTTTAAAGAACAGCCACTGGTTGTACTCACCGCATGGACTGGGTTGCACTGGTCTATTGGGTTTTTGAAGTCTGTCCGGAGTTCATCAAAGGCAATTATCTGAAAAACAATTTTTTAAGTATTATAATGAATTCTCATTCAAACACTTCTTTTTCCTTTAGGGACTAGTTAGATGCATTGTATTCCTTCCTCTCTTTCCAGAGAAGATAATGGAAACTAGCTTCCCCAACAAGCTCCTTTCAGAACTAACTAGTTAAACCAAAACACAGGATACTCCTACATATGACACATGGAATCCATTACTATCACTGTAAAATCATACCTGCAGCCTTTCCAGCATTGTTGCTTTCCAGATTTCTTCCCTCGTATCAACTAGAATTCTTTTCCCAAACTTTCAAATAAACTATTCTGCAAATGAATACATCTCCAGACTTGATGGAAAATGTCATTAGCTGTCTAAAACACAGAGATGGATCAGATGTGCTATTCCAGGTTTAATACATAAACAACAACCCCTTTTCATTACTTGTTAAACGTACTTCAGATAGTAGATCTGAATTAGTATCAATTTAATTACCATTAAGCTGCTATTTGTTAACAAGCAATCTCCTCAAAAGGTAAACCACTCCACAGGAAAATGTCCTTCCTATAAATTCTGCAGGTTTTAGAATCTTACTTCAGACCTCATTGATAGAGAGAAGTCCTTTGCTAGTTTTCTCCACTGACTGATGGATTGAGACATGCTGGTAATTACTGTCTGCTTTTAAAGTACAGCAGATAAAAATGCCCATAAAAATAATAAAGTTTGATAATGTTTTCTTGGAAGAAAACAGCTGTAATAACCCTCAGCATATTTCATTCAGAGATCTCAAAGGACAATCTTAATGTCATGTTTGTATTCTAGTAATACCTTTTCTTCTGCTTGCTCCACCCAAAGAATGAAAGCTCACCGTGACAGGCACCACATAAAGAGATGTTAGAACAGTGATTCCTTTTTAGACAATTCACAACCCAGTAAAGTATTTGTTCTCAAAAAAAAAAAAAGTACAAGGTAGCAGTTGTGTAATTAACATACAAGCACAACAACTGCTCTATGACATGTTACAGCATGCCAGTTGCCTAGCTGTCCAAAAGATACCCAACTGGGTATCACCACAGGCCTGCTGCATAAAGCATGTTCATTTTACAGATATGGAATGCAGGAGCAGAAAGCCTATCCTTAGTTCATATAATAATCTGGTGAGAGGCTTGAGAATAAAACCTGGAGCTACAATCCACAACTCTAAGCACGGATCCCTATCACACTCGAATGCCACATTCATCATACTGAAGCATATTTAAAAATCAAAAGTGTGGCATTTTACAAAAGCACTCTACCGAATTGAATTTATGCAACTATGGCAAGTCAAAGTGCCAGAACAAACCACAAAGGGAACTATAAAATGTGATTATAATTGAAGCACTTCTCCCTACAGATGCACTATCTCTACAAGTTAGGAATTAGATCTGCAACAGATGTTTAGACTAAGATAAAACAGCAAATAACAGAAACTTTGAGGGGGTTGGAGGACAATTGTGAAGAGTAAGGCTCATGACACCTCTATTTAATACCTTTTGAATAGGCTTTCATATTCTCGAACTGGGCCAACTGTTGAGGGTAACTTGAGTCAGATGCACGTATTTCTGTTTGTAATTGGGCATCAAGATCAGCACTGACAGCAAGGGAGAAGGACAGCCCTGTGACAGGTAAGAGAGCCTCTGCTCCTAGCTCTGCCACTGATTTACTCAGGGATCCTGTGCATCTCCCTTGAATTCTCTTTGCTTCACTGCACTGGTACTTACACACGTAGCTTTAAGACAGAAAACTGTTACGAGCTTTGAGAGATGACTATTTGTAATAATGTACAGTGGTAACAGCCTTTCCTTCTGTTGTAAAGGTAGAGATGAGCTGAAATGTGCTGTGCTCTTTTTTTTTGGTAGTCAGGAACAGCAACTAGGAGTTTGAGATAATAATGAAATGAGAGCCAATACAATATCCAGCTTGTGAGGGAAGACTTGTCTGAAACAACAAGATGGGGAACCCAAATGCTGAAATCCAAAGATGGATCCCCTTCAACAAGTCCAGAAAAGCCTCTGAAGAGTCAATGAACGCTGACAGGATGACAACCCTGAAGCGTGTTTAGATGAAGAGCGAGACTGCTCTGAAGGACAGAATCATTAAGGCAAGGCTCTGTTGAGCTAGCCTGAACTACTGCAGCTAAGTCTTGAAGAAATCCTAAATGGCAGCTTTGGAAAGAGATTAGACTCAAACTACATATTCACATTTCCCAACTTTTTTGCTTTCTCTTTTTTCGTGAGCATTCCCAACTTAGTAGTCAAAACCCTACTCTAAATATGCTGGCATGCAATTTATTTTATGCTATACTTGCATTATATCTAAACACACTGAAAGAAATCTGACAGTAGTGAGCATATTATTTTCATGTAAATGTAAATACTATACCAGTAAGTGTAAATACTATAGTCTCATAGACAAACCTCTGGGGATGCCTGCAAATTATGACAATACTAAGAGACATTCCCACTACACCTGCAAGAAACAGACTGATGTGTGGTATCAAGCACACAGGACTGGAGGAAAGCTTCTTGAATAAAAGTTCCAATGCCTCTCTGGAAGGAGTCTGACTGAAACAAATCCTCCTCAATTTTAATACATTATTTCAGAAAAGCCCCATAATAGTTTATATTTTGTTAGATCTGCAGGAATAGAAATCCATTTTCACTTATGAAAAAGTGCATTCCTAGTTCTCAGTCACAGTGAAAAGCTTTACAGGGTAAGGTTAGGCAGGCTCACAATTAAAAGGAATGTAAAGAAACACACAAAGTTTGGGGGGGGATGTTTTATTGTGGGTTTTTTTGCATTTTGTTTTGGTTTTAATTTTTTTAATCTCACAATGTTGAGTGTCCCAATTCTAAAGATGCAATTGAGAAAGATGTTGCTTCTTAAGATTGGCAGTTGCTGGCAATACAATACATAAGTGTGCAACAAATTATACTGTATTACTGAAAATCAGGCTGGGCTGTGCTGCAGTGTGGTTTACATCATTAATTAGGAAGCATCTTCCACTTTCAGTTACAACCAGCCTTCTGCAGCAGTTAATGGCCTAGGGTTGGCCAGAGTTGTCATTTTCCCCCACAAAAAACTACTTGCCTCCATTGAGTATTTCATAATGTTTTCACAGGAGGTGCAGTGGTCTGGCCATACTCTGGAGAAACGATCTTCTGCCTGTTTCCATTTCAGTTGGATGCAGTATAGCTACCTGTTTCCCATACATGAGCTGCTTGCTCAGAGTTGCTGAATGACCTGGGATGCCATTCAGGTATGCTCAAGGTCTGTTTCACCTCTGAAACTGCCACACTTGTCAGCATCTTGACAGAGCAGTTCATTTGGACACAAACTATATAACAGATCCCAGTCAAAGCACTTCACCATACGAATTATTTATCCACCTAATAAAACTAAAGGTTTATAGAAACACTGTTTGCATTCCCTGGTGATTCACCTTCATAACTGAACATATTTTATAAATCATTTGATATATTTCAATTACCTAATTTGATCCAGGATGGCAATTAAGACTACAAAACATACATAGGCATGGACATCAGCGACCTCATCTCTCCAAAGGCCACACAATAAAGAGACTGTTCCAAAGAAAAATGAGTAGCCTCTAGTCACAAAGCTAAACAGCATGTGGAAACATGTGCTAGGGACTGATCTTAAACAGAGGAGAAACTTATTTCTATTAGTAAATATTAACATTGTACACTGCTTCATTGAAGGAGAGTAAGAATCATTTGCTATTCAGAATCAAAGAATCATAGAATAGTTAGGGTTGGAAAGGATCTTAAGATCATCAAGTTCCAACCCCCTGCCATGGGCAGGGACACCTCACACTAAACCATGTCACCCAAGGCTCTGTCCAACCTGGTCTTGAACACTGCCAGGGATGGAGCGTTCACAACCTCCCTGGGCAGCCCATTCCCGTGCCTCACCACCCTTACAATAAAGAACTTCTTCCTTATATCCAATCTAAACTTCCCCTGTTTAAGTTTTAACCTGTTACCCCTTGTCCTGTCACTACAGTCCCTAACGAAGAGTCTCTCCGCAGCTCCCCTATAGGCCCCCTTCAGACACTGGAAGGCTGCTATGAGGTCTCCATGCAGCCTTCTCTTCTCCAGGCTGAACAGCCCCAAATTCCTCAGCCTATCTTCATACAGGAGGTGCTCCAGTCCCCTGATCATCCTTGTGGCCCTTCTCTGGACTTGTTCCAACAGTTCCATGTCCTTTTTATGTTGAGGACACCAGAACTGCACACAATACTCCAAGTGAGGTCTCACATGAGCAGAGTAGAGGGGCAGGATCACCTCCTTCGACTTGCAGGTCACGCTCCTTTTGACAGCCCAGAATACAGCTGGTTTTCTGGGCTGCGAGAGCATTTATCTAGGAACTTCAAGAAATAAAACCATGAAGTTCTCTATTTGCAAAGCTAAATCAGAAACAAAAAAGCATCAGGTTGAACCATATTTATGATTACTGCAGAATGTGCCCAAGGATTGACAAGGCCATGGATGTTGAACTACCTTCTGACTTACAGAGCTTTCCCTGTGATTCTACATTGCAAAACACTGCAGGAAGTTTGTTCTGCCACTGTGCTATTGTCTGTTTACAGAAGTGCACTTGTGGGTGTTATCCACCTAATAAAACTAAAGGTTCATAAAAACACTGTTTGCATTCCCTGATGATTCACACCATCTGCAAATCTCAAAACTCCAAGTGTAAGTCAGTTAGGAGCTTGCCCCAGTTTCAGCACATACCAAACAGATGAGATTGTGATAACAACGTATGTTTCAGTACAGCTATAATTGCAATTATATTTATAAAATTCATTTTCATTACCTGCACTCTGAGCTCATCTTTCCAGACAATAACAGCTTTGAATAATGAAGTGCTCACAAGATTGAACCTGAATTCTGTTTTTTTTTTTTCCTATGCTTATGCATCCATCAAACTGAAAATTTCACCTATTAATGGTAGA